ACCTCTACCTGTGGCACCAAAAATGTCGCCAATTCAACCAAAACTACAAACAACATCACCAACTTCTGCCACATCTGGGACTGGCACAGCAACATCATCAGCACTTCCAGCACAAAAGCGTCGTATCGATAGTAAAACAATGCATGCTTTAATTGCATTAGGAGCAGAAAACACCACTGGCCCTTGGTTGTGTCTCCGCTGTGGGGTCAACGGACGGCCTATAAGTATTCCATCGTATCGAGGTTTTCGCCGTCACTTGATAAACACACACAAAGAATACATTGAACCGGCACTCTGTGAACATTGTGGCTGGCGTTCAAGTACTAAACGTGAGCTGCACTTCCACATGGAGATAGAACACAAGATTAAGACCACTTCTTACACTTTCCCAAAGTGTTTGTTATGCTCTAATCAGTTTTTGGATACAAATGCGCTAAATCAACATATGGTTGACGCCCACCCGGATGAGAACAAGCAGCAATGTATTTACTGTAACAAAATTTTTGCACGTGAACTACAACTATATAACCATATGAAGACCTACCACAAGAAACAGGCGCTCGAAGATGGTATTATCGATTATTCAGACGATGAGTTATTTGAACCGCCGGCAACCACGGAAATTACAGCATCAGAGGTGCAAGAAAATATATCAAAGGAGAAAAAGGAGTCAAAGATAAAAATAATATCTGACATTAGTCTACCCAGCGCCGGATCGATATTGAAACTTGAGGGCGGCAATGTAGCTACAGACTCACGTCCACAAATAGGTATATCTGGCGATCAGCAAGAATTTATGGAAACGAACGAAAGCAACATTATAACAAGCGAACCCAAATTTGTTACTGTCGATGGCAACGAGATGGTTTTAACTGATGAACAACGCCAAGAGATCATGGCTCAGTTGAATCAGGAACATGGAACTGGTGGGGTTGTGATGGTATTAAACGAGCCTGCTGAGTACACGGCGGAAGCAACACCATTGACTTCAAGTCATGATGCATTGGAATGCTGCAATGAAAAACAACCAGCTGAACAGGAAGCTGATCACAGCGCTGAACGCCAGCCTGAAGATCAAATAATGGACGAAGAAACTCGAAATCCCCCTGCCGAGAGCTCAACAGTGGATGAAGATTTTGATGATAATCAGATATATAATGAACTGCATACCGCTCAAGGTGGACAAGGCGATTCAGATATAACAGCAGAGATGGGTACAACGGAAGTTACTGATGATAAAAAAAACACTTCGGCAGGAAGTGCAATGGATGAAAGCAAGGAATCGATTGAAAATTTGGAGTGGGCCGAAAATTTGATCAGCGCCCATGAGTTGGCCGATCAAGAGGAAATGGAAGCGGATAAGAAAGACAAAGTATGTTGTGCATACATACATATGTACATAAAATGCCAACATATTGTATAAGGATATTTAAAATCGAAATCTAAAATTCGTTTCATTTATTTTTACAGGATAATAAAGGCGACGATGCAATAAACCAAAAGTTAAAAGAATTGACTGGTGACTGGTCGGAAGACGATAATGATGAGGATCAACAGGAAGCAGCAATTTCGCCAATCGCCGAGGTCGATGCACCGGAAGACTCCACTAATACTGTTCAGAATATAGTAGAAGGAAATGAAGAAAATATTTTGGATAACCAGAAGAAAACTGTTGAAGAAGATGTGGAGAAACCTAAAGAGCTGCCTGAAAAATCCACTGAACCAGAAGACGCAGAAGCCGGAAGTGACATTCTAGACCCAGCTGAAGATAATATTATTCCCCAAGATGTTGATCCCGGCTACACAAATACAAACGCAGATGATTCGAAGGGTGAAGAAGATGATTTAGACGCTCTTATGAAAAATTTGCATAAAGATGATGCTGATTTAACCGATAATAAAGGCCATGAAGCAGAGAACCAGGCGCAAACAATGGATGATATGGTCGCAGCTGATCTCGATATTGACATCAAAAAAGAAAAGGTAACAACTCCCCTAGAGGAGCCAAGCACAAAAGACGCTGAAAGCATTTCAAAATCTAAATCAAGGAAAGTAGATGAAAGCGATGTCGGTGACAGCATTGTTGAAATCAAACGCGATGTGCTAGTGGATGAACTCATTGGTGAAGATGAGAACACGACTCAGGAAGAGTTCATAAAAGAGACAAAACCAGCAGAAAAAGAAATTTTAGAGGCTCCATGTGAAGAATTGTCTACTGGACCAGCGGTGGCCCCAGAACCAACTAAAGCACTTGAAGTCATTAAAGTAGAAGAAGCTGGGTCCGGAGAAGTGAAAGAACCTGCTGTAACAGATGCTCTTGAAAACAAAGTGGACGCTGAAAAAGATGACGGCGCTGTCAGCGGTAAAACAGCGACAGATGACGTAGCCAAAACGTCCGAGCGTGTGAAAAGTCTTATTAGCGAATGGGCTGAAGATGATGAAGAAGAGGAACAAGATACTGCTGTTTCAACTGCTATAACAGAAGTGGATGAGGAACAACTTTGAAATCTAGATTTAATTACAATGTAAGTTTTTATTCCGAAACCAAGAAGGGAAAATTTTTCAATGTAGAAGAGAGAAACCCAAGCAAGCAAATTGCATATCTAGTTTTACTTCCATTTATGTACATTAAGCTGTTACGTTATTTTACGACTAAATCAAGCAGGTTCTGTAATTCACTTCCGAGAGAATTTCAACCCCTGCTAATTTGAATTCAAAGCGAAGTTGATTGATATTCACTCTGAAGTGAATTGCGGAACTTGCCTGAATATGAATTCAGATCTGTGCTGAAATCTTAAAATATTTTATTGCATTTAGACATTGCTTGTTTTGTAAGAAATTGTAAGTGTTGGGCTAGGGAGATTTAATCTTCTATCCTTTCCAGACATCGCAAATAACAGTTACCTAGAAAAAATCGGGATATCCAATAGTCTGTTATTTTACAGGCGGCCACTTAGATTTGTTTTTGAGGTGAAATTATATTTCTTGCCTGGTCAAATTTAAAAATTAAATCGCAATTTGCCGAGCAAAATGGTTGTTGTTGTTGCTGTTGTTGTTTTTGTAGCTGGTGATAAGCTTAGTTGTTGTAAAGCTCAATTAACAGTAGGTCCATAGAACTTGCTTTATCGAAGAAACCGGAGTCCACAGGCAGGTTCTGCAAGTCACTTCCGAATTTGAATTCAAAGCGGAGTTGATTGATATTCACTCGGAAGTGAACAAACATAGATTTTTTATACCTGTCCTTCAGCATCAAGTTTTGAAAATAAAACTGAAAACTTTTCGTACTGTTTTTTTTCGTAAATAATTTTAATAAAATGAAAGTGATTCGTTTTTTTTTTGCTATTTTCTGGGGACCGTTGGGAATTTTTCTAGACTCTTGGGAGGTTTTTTGTTTTTTTTTTTTTTGTTCGGAATCTTTGGGCATTTTTCAACACTTTTCTCGGAACCCTTTCACATTTTTGTGACTTACCACGTTTTTCTGGAAGCTTTCGGCGTTTCTTCGGCACCATTCAGGATTAATCGGGTCTAATCAAATCCAAAAGTACATTTATATTTAGATTTTGCTTTTTATGTGTACCTAAAAATAAAAAGCAAACCTAACGGTTATTCTATGTTAGAAAATTTATAGGAGACAAATATTTGTTTTCTAAAAATATTAGGATTTTCTGAATACATTCTGTTCACTTTTATCATCCTAAAAGAAACGTAACAACAAATCTATAAAATTCAAAATTTATTAAAGTCAGTATATAAAAGTTGGTTAAGTTAGCTTAAAATAACGCTACGAAATATTTTTTTTTTTTATGTTGTTGCTGTAGCAGCATTTAAATTCCCCTAAGAGTTTTTGGGACTGATGCTAGAGTGACAGTGCTTGGCCAGACATAAATCTGGGCCGTTCCGGCTACGTAGCCCCGACTGTCGTGGGAACGATTTTTTTGTGTCTTCGTTTCTAATTACATATTCAGTGGCAATAAAGATAGACAGCAAAGCCTAAAGGTTCGATTAATGTACCATTTACAGTGTATGGAGCTATTGATTGTGAAAAATATATTTCTGGTGCAGCACCCCTTTTGGTTTAGGTAAAAAATGAATAGTGTAGGTACTAAAGTAGTATTTAAAAAGAATATAAAATATTCACTTTATAACGCTTATTCAAGGATAAGAAGTAACCGTGTTTAATTATCAATGAAAAACCTTTACAGATGCAAAGGAAATATTATTCTCAGCCCGCGAGAAATAACAGCGACTGAAAATTTAAAAAATCTCAATTTGCATGTGTACGCAAGTGCATACATATGTATCTCTGCCAGTTTTAGTATAAATCTGTGTCAATAAAGAAGCTAGAGTGATAACTGTTACTTGCGATCTCTGATTTTGCATAAATATTAGCATAATGGGGCTGCTGTTCAGGATATTGTGCATTTCGATGGCTGAGTGGAAGATCGACCTATCTCGGCAGCCACTTTGAAAACGCTCTATCTCAGAGAATCTTTCAACAACGCCCTATTTCGGAACTCGGTTGAAGGGCACCATACTTTAAAATCCTTTCTCAGAATTCAGTTCAAAAACGCCCTATTCGAAAAACGCCCTATCTCAGCACTTTTCGAATGTATTTTCGTTTGAGATTTTTGAGGGCGATTTTGAACCGAATTCTGAGATAAGGCGTTCTTCAACTAAATTCCCAGATAGGGTATTTTTCAATCAAATTCTGATATAGGGCGTTCTTGAAAACGTTTCTGACTGGCGTTTTCGAACTAGCTGCCGAGATAGGTCGATCTTCCACTCAACCATTTGTAAATTCACAACAATTAAATGGAAACGGTTGCCATGGTAGCCCACCATAAAATTTGCAAATGCAAATCCAATACCATATGCACAATATCCTGAACAGCCGTATTCATTCACACACATTAGCAGTATGCAGTCGTAACAAGAAACACGATTGTCCAAAGCAAAAGTTCTGCGAATTGACAAATTTACATCCATCGATATAGTTGAAGTTATAGAAGCTTGATTGTATTATGTTTCAGTGTATCAAATACTCTGAAAATACGCATTGGAAATTTTTGGAAAATTACCTGAACTAAAAAACACATACATACATTAAAATTTTGATGCAAAACGCTTCAGATTTATTATGCATATATGTATGTATTATGTGAGTTGAAATATTGTGTATTTATACATATTTGAGTTTTACTTATTTGATATACATATAAACTAAAGATACTACAATATTAGCGCATATGCCTGATTGAAATATAGACAAGATACAGATACTAAAAATACAAGATATAAACACAAAAAATTATTTATTAAAATAGGGCAGTCACTTAAAACATTGTGTAGGCCGAAGAGTGTACGGTCGTGAGATTACTTTCATGCAGTCATCTGCAAGCAATTAATATAATATGTTTTTTAGAACATTTCGGTACACATTCGGAAGACCAACTTACATAATTCCTTCAACGCAACTGAAATTACGGTAGCGGGTTTAAAAACTTTACACTGGAGCCTAACTTACGGTTATAGTAATATTTGCGGAACATTTTCGCCCGTAACCAATTGCAACTTTCATTAGTAGTTCATGTACGGTTTTTCTAGTATAGCTTAAGTATTTTAGTATATAGAAATGAGACATTTTATTCTTAAATAACATTGAGTAGATTACCATTGTTTCACAATGATTTCTTTGAGCAATATGCTTAAAATATGATGTATAGTATACATGATGTAAATACATATTTATGTTGTCTACAATAAACGTACATACATACATATACTTATAAAAGAACATTATTATTGCTTATAGTCAGGAGTTTATGTACATACATATATGCATATTGGAGATTAACACCTGCTGAACACGCTTATATGTAATATGGAAAATTTCTTCGATTAGCTGTCGTCATCTGCATTAAAATAAAAAATAAAATACATATTTGTGAATCCAGCCATAAATATCTACATGAATATAATAAATGAGACAAAGCAATGTTTACCTTTTAGATAATAATTAATGACAGTCATTATGGAAAAACCACTAACGACTGCCAAGAATTGACCGAAACCTGCCGCCTTTCTCGTTACGTTTTGATGCCAACGCGCCTTTTCCCTGGGTATGACCTCGCAAACGGTTACATAGAGTAATGTTCCTCCAGCGAGGCCCTGTACAATGGACAATACGGAACTAGACCAATTAGAGGGTATATCCACTATGATCATGCCAACAGCAATCCCGCAAACAGCACCCAATGCAAACACCAATATGCCGATGAAATGTTTGCGAAGGCTCGTTTGCGAATTGGAACGAAATTCCAAACCTAGGCAAAAGCCCATAACAAACTTATGACAGGCTACGGCACCGAGCAGAAAAAGCACCTGAAAAAGACGCGGGCGGTATTATTGGCTTTTATCACAGCATATCAATGCTTGTGTGTTAGTTTTCGTTAAGTTTATGTTGGAAGTCTCCCAGAAGGAAAGATTGGTCCAATTGCTCGAAAAATATAGCCGTGTAGGTATAGTAGTTTTGTATCTAGACCAAAGATAGTCCCAAAAATATAAAGCAATGTAATGTAAAACAGGTGAATTGTACTAAAAGTGGTCCGAATGTAATGCATAAGGTATGAGTTTTGATCTCAAACCGGTTACAATGTCATGCAGTAGCGGACAACAGGCACAATTAACGGCTTGCTGATATGTAGACACTTAGTCAACAAATTTTCATGTGCGATGTTGGCAAGCATGTTTGGCCGAGCTTCTCCTCCGATTTGTGGCGTGTTCCTTGATGTCGTTGTCACACAAACGGGAGGGACCTACAGTTTAACGCTGACTCGGGACTCCGATTGATTTTTTATGAGAAACTGTTTTTCATAGCAGAAATACTCTCGGAGGTTTGCCATTGCCTGCCAAGGGGCGACCGTTATTAGAAAAAAACTTTTTTTTTATGTTGGTCGAAAACTGGGCTCGAACCCAGGCCCTGCGGAATGTCCTATCGTTCTATGTAAGACAGGAAAATTACATATTTCAATAGTAACTTTTTGCTAAATGACTACATTTAATTTATGTTGAAAAATATTTGTACATCAGTCACATTACTTATACATCAGTCACAAGAACCAGTCCCACCAGTCACAATTTTAAATATTCATATGAAGATTATGTCAGCCTTAATTTTATTGAAAATGAAAGCTTATAGTACATGTTTTATAATAAAAAAAACTTGGTTGAAAGTAAGGTGTTTTGGCTAAAAATTGTCTTTGAGTGCACACAGGTAAAATATATGGATTTTCAGTGTCCCACCAATAACATTCATTCTAATAGTTGCACAGAACCTAGAAATATGTTGGTATTTTTCAAAGGAATATTATACATTAATTATTTATCTATGACGGTTAGAGTGCGTATTACTACTACGGTCGACCCCGGCAGACAATGGCAAACCTCCCGAGTGTATTTCTGCCATGCAAAAGCTTCTCATAAAATCGATTTACCGTTCAGACGAGGCGTTAAACTGTAACTACCTCCATTTGTGTTTATTCTATAAAAATTTATATGGAAGCAAGAAAAATAAAAAATGCATCGAACCCAAAAAGATCGAATGCTGATTTCATTTATGCCGAGAAAGGAAAATTTGCTAAGCCCAAAGAAAGCACAAAAAATCCGATATATTCAAAAGGGTACAAAAAGTTATCTAACAAAAGAAATCTGCCGATTCGATAAGTTAGGTTGTGCTTTGAATATGCAAAAATGTTATGAATGTTTTGCAAAATATTTGAAGAAAATTACTTTGGCAAGTTTTTCTTCTCTCCTGAAAACTTTTGAAAAACTGGACTAACAAATTTTCGATATGCTAGCGAGACATTTTACGGTTGCCGAAAGTGCTGGGAAAACGCACCGATTTTTCGTGTATTACTGGCACAAAAAAGGTTAAACCCCCTAGCCCAACAAGTTTCAGGTTAAACGAGGTTGCGCTTATTGGACATTTCCATCAGTTATAGTTTAGAAATAAGACGCTGATGCTTTGCAACATACCAACTTGGAACTCAGCCACACATTTACATCAAAGCTTACCTTTGCTGCCGAATTTTGTACACCAATAGCAAGACCTTCGATTGCTGAATGTATAGACAGAGCCACAAAAAGTCCTAGAGTGCCTGTCATGGACTCGACACAGGGTTCCTCATGGCTTGTGTGACATATTCGCGCGTTCGCTTCCGCAATAATAGCTTGGTCCGTACACTGTGTTGTGTTGTTATGCAAATGTGGCTGGTGTGTTGACTCATCATTGTTTTGTTGTTCCCCGTGGCTATCACATTAAAATTAGTTATTTGAAGTAGGTATATACATAAATCCATACCTATCTATGTACTATCTGCTATTTATTCGGAACTTACTTGTTACTGCTGTAATGATTACGGTCATCAGTTAAAAGTGGAGTGGTGTCATTGTTCAACGCGCCATAATTATGACTGGTAGTTCTCCCGTGTCCGCCGCTATGAGAGTGAGTATGTTGTATTGCTTCACCGAAAAAGTAATGGATGAACTCATCAATGAAATATATAATGAAAAATCCTCCACAAATTGCAATTTCTGCGAAATTTGAGTCCATCTGCTTCCGTACCTCTGGTAAAATGTGTACTAGCGCGGTAGCCAACAATATGCCTGCACCGAAGCATAATAAAAATGATGTGGTTAGAGGATAACGTCTACTACTGCGGTCGGATATAATAGCTGGTAGCATTCCAGACAAAACGCTGCCAAAACCTAAGACACACATAGCTAAAATTTTTTCGCCATCACCGCAGTATGTACAGCTATTATTAGAAGCACTCCACGTCGATAAAACATTCGTGACTGAATTGTTATTCATTTTCTCCTATTATAAGGTTTGCAGTCAAAGGATAAAAATGCAGTTCAATGCGAACAATCCCAGCACTATACTTGTTGCTATTCTTTCATCAGATGAGTTTTGAAATTCAAAAATTATATTCTCTATCGTTGAGGGTAATACGATCATCCGTACTATTTAATCTTATCACATTATCGTTTGTTGTTTGAGTCTGTGTTCTTTTATCTATCAACATATGTACATACATACATATGCAAATAACACTAGTTGCGTTCGACAAGTCAAAAATTTGTAAAAGTTTTCCAAATTTTTACTGGATGGCGTTCGATAACGACAAAAAATTATCCAACGCACAAAAATTGAGAGAGCAAGCGTTCATTTTGATGCAAGAGAAGCGTTCATTTTGTACTGGCAAATTTTAGTCAGCAAAAATTAATTGCGTTCGATAACAAAATTAGCCAACACCAGCCAACAATCAAAATCAAGAGAGTAAGCGAAAATTCTCTCCCAAAGAGATGAAAAATCAAAAAAGTAAACGAACGGGAAATTAGCCATTACTTGCAAAAACCGGAAGAAGAAAACACACCAGCTGACTTTGTTTATGTTTTATTTGTAAACAAACTGAAATTCATGTTGCCTCCATAGAAGAAAAAAGGAAAGTGAACGTTCAATGTTCGCCAGGAACATTTCTAGAAGTAAAAACTAGTTGGCGCTATCATAAAGTCACATAGCACGCAGCCAAAAAGCATATAAATACCAAAACTCGGAAAATGCAATTTTGTTTGTCTACAAAAATTGCAACCATACTATCATATAAGTGATTTGTGCTATTTAGTATTACCCTGAAAGGATTATATTCGTTTTTGGTTTTAAAACTATGTTATGGCAAGATCTAATTTTTAAAATAAAAGATTTTTTAAGCCGTTTTCATGAATTTTATAAATGGATATTTTCTTTTTAAGCAATCTGGACACTCTGCTAGGCACGCGAATTTTGATACGATGCAATACCATATCAATATTTTTGCCATTCGTTCCGCAACTTTTTACTTTATACCCTGCAAGAATTATCGGTTAAATTAGTGGGAAAACTGACTAAAACTTTTCGTCAGTTTAGCCTTTAGTTTTGTATGGGCTTAGGGAAAAAAGTGACCAATTTTCCGGGCGTGTGATAGTGCATGCCTTTCTTGCACACACATGGGCGCATTTGCCTTACAGTATGTTCACTCGTTCACACATGTCATCTAATGGTGATGTACAAGTGAGTTTAGCGATAAAACTATTGGGAAAATATCGCGATAATTAGTTCTTTTTCTGACCACTATTCTAACCTCTAAATAATTTACAATTCGATTTAGTTTAAGTGTTTGTTTTATTTGTAAAAATATATTGTCGAATATTAACATAATTTCGCAAGCTTTTTCAGAGCTACTGAGCTCTGACAATTCTTCTCATTTTTCATCGGGGTCTGAATTTTCATCGCTAAAAACAAATGCCTCAGCGCCGTTTGGTCTTTCTACCTCCATTCCTATGTTCTGCTGGGGTCCCACGATGGCGTTGCACTATATTTCAGCACTGTAGTCACTGACCGTTGTCCATACTTACAAGTGAAAAAAGAATCAGATGTTTTGCGGAAAGGCCTCACAGCTGACATCACCTGATTTTATTTGCTAAGGGGTTATACTCAATTTTCGAAAAAAAACTTTAAGCAGACTCTGACAAAAAAAGCAAACAAGTTTTATTGAGTGAAAGAGTTATTGACCAAAACGCTTTAAGATATTAAAATGTCTTATAAATGCAGGAATTTATTTATTTCAATGATAACTTTGCCAATTTTTTACTTTATTTTAATAACTTCTGCCTTTTACGCGAACGAGATTTTCAAGCAGGTGAAGACGGCCGGTAAGAGTTGCTCATGTAAGCATAATTTTAATTTGTATCGGCAACCCGAATGAGTGACATCAAAATTTGTTTAGCATGCATTTTTACACATATATATGCATTTCGTTGATAAAGTTGCATTGTCGTTTGCAAATTCACATTTAGTGTTGCACTTTAATTTAAGGAATACAATTTAAAGGAACTACACAAGGCAGAACTACAGACCTATTTTCTAGAGAAATGCCATGGAGCATGCAGATTAATTACTTGCTTTACAAGAAAATATGTAATTTTTAAAATTAGTTTATACCTTTATATACCTTTGTATATATATAGAAGGATCAGGAATTTTATGTTGAAACAATGGACTGCGGAGATGGAGTAACAATAAATTTTTTAAGTCACAGTGATCACGAGAACCGTGTTAACGGGTCAATTCTAACAACTGATAAATTATCGCTTTCCCTTCAAATGCCACCGGGCTTAAATACTGTCGCTGGAAATGTACCCACAAATGGTGGTGATAAAATGGAGTATATGACTCCCACCGGTAATGTTCAAGTAACACTCTTACATCCCCGTAGCTGCGATATGCTAGCAGAAATGCAGAATAGTATTCTCAGTCTGGCAAGTAGTAATAGCAGCGGTTATAATGGCACTCTAGATACAATCGATTCCAATTACTCTGTGCAGTCCACTTTAGAAAAAAATAAAAATAGGTCATCTAATAATGAAGATAAAGATGCTTTATTAAATACACCCAGCACTGAGGATTTGGCCCCAAGACTAAAATCAGCAATGCAATCACCTACACAAACGCGGAATATAGAACATGAGAAAAGCACAAATGATGATAACAAGCAACCGCAGGCATACCCCTCATCACTTCAGCAACATCGGGAGTCTATTTCTTGTGGAATCGAGGAGTCAACTGAAGTGTTGCTGGTTAACTCATCCGAGTGTGATGAAAAATATTTTGGAAGTGGTCGTGCCTACTCTGGCACGGATTCTGATGTTGAAGTGTTAATGTCAGAGGAGATAGTCGAGTCTGATTGGTCGGCTAGTGGCACAGCCACAGATGAAATGGCCCAAACCCCTGAAGAATGTGCCGGAGCAAAGTTATCACCGCTAATTTTGGAAATGAAAACAAATTTCCAGCAACGGAACGATATGAGCACTGCGGGATTGATTAAAGGGTCTACTGAACAAGAAATATCTGTAGAAGACTTCAGTTCTAATAGCGCAAATGAACAACCAAGCAAGGATCAGCTTCTCAAAATAATAGGCGAGCAAGCGACATGCATTCAGAAGCTTCAAAGTACGGTGGAACGTTACCGCCGCGCCCATCAAACACTTCTTAAACATGTCGAGGCGTTACGATTGGCTTTGAATGAAACTGATTTGGAAGCTAATGATCTCCAAAAACTAGATTCTCATTTTGTACCAAACCAGAAATAAATTTTTAAATTACTTTATGTGGTACATCCAGGCATACATTGCAAATATTAGTTGCGTTCCAGATGTTTCACGATTTGCAGGTTTTTACAGGAAGCCGTTCCAGGTGACTACCTACCATAAGGTTTATTAATCGAGAAAACAGCTGTTCCTGCAAATCCTGTAAAACCTGCAAATCGTGAAGCATCTGGAACGCAACTATTCATGATATATGTATGTATATTCCTTATTTTTGTGAAAATGTATGTATAAATTAATATAAGCATTTCGCCTGAAAGATCAATTTGTTGCTTTTGCTTGTTCTTATCATGATTAGTAGTTATTTTGTTTTAATACGGTGTTTACATGAGGCGATTTCACAGACAACAAAAAGCAACGAATCGCCTGGTGGTATTGAAAATGGGCGAAATAGGACAGTAACCACGCCTACCTCCCATATAACGGTAATTTTCAGAAAAATGCAATATTTTAGTCACTACTGAAGATTATTCACTCAAAATTGAAATTTACAATACATTTTATATAAAAATAAGAGTTTTTTGGAAAATGGGCGTGGCCACGCCCACTTATGGTTACATGTGTATATCTGGGTAACCGCTGCACCAAACTTGGCACAGTTGTTGGCCTTGGTACAGCATACCAAATGGCCGAAAGTTTTTAAAATCGTACAATAACCACGCCTCATCCCATTTATCCCTCGATATCATTAATCAGTAACTATTAAAGCTAATTTATTCAAAATTGATGCTTGCAACAATTCTTTACGGAGAAATAAGTATATAATAAAATTTTGGAAAATGGGCGTGGCACCAAGCAAGCAAAACGTTGAAAATTATTGAAATCGCACTAAAATTACGGCCGCTTTTCATATAACGGTAAATTTCAGAAATGCCTGAAACTTCAATATTTCGAAATTTCAGGACGCTAATTTACTCAAAATTGATACACCCCGGTTTACCATGTAACGGTAGCTTTCGGAAAGGTGAAAAACATATATTTAATACTTGCGCCGGGTATTTAATGTTCGGCTCCGCCCGAACTTAAGACTTTCTTACTTATTTAGATTACAATTATTATAATTATAATGTTAACATTTATGATTACAATTAAAAGAATCGTAATCGTATATAATGTGAGGATTACAATTAAGCAATCGTAGTTAAAATGTAATCGTAGTAAAAAATTACCCAGCTCTGCAGTGAAATTGGAGAGGTTGATTAAACTAATTTTAAAATTGCCTCATGTTAAGACCGTGTAATAGAAGAATTCTAACGGTCGACAACAGCGAATTCAGAAGAGAATTTGTGACAAATCACAAAAACCACTCGCCATGTGGGCACTTTAAATTATATTTGCTTTAAGTCCTCTTTGCTGCCCAATTTCAGACTGGAGCCGCAGTTCATGATGACAAGTTTCCCATAGTTACCTTAATATTTGTTTAAATATAAGCACCCTCTTTTAACATTTTTTTTTATTTTCGGTTGAAATTACATGTATTGTTTTCATTCAATGCTAATTAACTTTTACCTTAAGCCGACGAAGTAATTACATCGGTGTACAATTTCACTTTGCTGGCAATGCTCATATCAACGTATTTATCGCCAATGGAAACGATTAAGCCACCAATGATGCTGGGATCCACGCGAGATGTAATTTTCAACTGTTGGTTACCTTTTAGGAATGCCTGAAATGCAGAGATTAATGAGCAATTGAAAATATGGAAATATTGAGGAAACAAAAAAAAACTCTTTTGAATACCCTAAGAGCTGACTCCAACTGTTTGTTTTGTGACGAATCCAACGGCTTGGCAGTGACGACTTCGCACACAACTTCGCCACGATGGGCAGCCATAATAATTTTGAAGGCATTTATAACCGAGTCAATATTTTTCAAGCGTCGATTTTCAGCCAACAGTCCCAGAAGGTTGGCAGTAGCTGGTGCCAACTTCAAC